GCTCCAAACAAAGAACAATCCTCCAGTGCTCGCCTTCAACCTTCCACCAAGGTCTGCCTGGGCCCCTTACCAAGCAATTCCAGAGATCTTTGAGCAAGAGCAATCACCTCGCCCTCGCCCTCTTCACCTTCCTCGTCATCGGATTCAACATGTTTGTCGGCAATCGTCTTAACCATCTGAATGATGTCTTCGGATTTGGCGACCAGGCTGACGAGTTTCTTGTCCTCCGATTCCAATAGTTGCAGCAATGTCCATATCGCAATGTGTTGAAAGGTAGGGTCACCGCTGCACAAGAAACGCTTGAGATACCCGTGAATGCCACCATTTGGCTCCATCCAATCACGAACAAAAATCGAATAATCGCCGACCTTGGAAGACAAATTGCCCAGTGCAGCGGCACTATTGCCCTGAACTTCAATGCTTTCCGAATCGGTAAGAGGAATCAGCACATCGAAAATGCCCATGTTGAGCAGATGTGTCTTGAGCTCGTCACTCAACGCCAACACGGCGATACAAGCCGTCATCTCAGACTGTACACTCAGTGGCACATGCAGAAGTAGCTCCTTGCATTTCTCCACTGCTCCGGCCTCCAAGACGAGTTGCTTGTTTCGGTCCGAACTTGCAGCAAGGTTCCGCAGAGTCGAGATTGCATGGCATTGGATTTCCTCGTTCTCCATTGAGCCGAGAAGATCGACAAGGGGTTTGAGAAAGCCGGCTTCTATGATGGGCGCTTCGTTCAGAGGGTGAATCGAAATGTTGCGGATGCAGGCGACAGCAGAGAGGATAAGTGGTAGGTACGAAGATTGAAGGAGACGAAGAAGTGGTTGCAGGCCTCTAGCCCGAACAATCTCCAATTGGTACTTTTCGTCTGATGCCAAGTTTCGGAGAGCCAATGCGGCCTGGCACTGAACCTTGGGGGTTCCAGAATCCATCAATTGGACCAGGGATTGGACAAGCCGTGGTTCGGTCTGGGCGAGTTTCTTTCTGTTGGACGGGTCGACTGCAATGTTGCTCAAAGCTGTGGTGCAGTAGTATTCCACATCCATATCAGGCGACTGAAGCAGTTGAACAAGCACTGGAATGGCTCCGGCATTGACGAGTTGTTGTCTGTTATCATCTGGGTACAGTTAGAGCGCCAACTTCCCGGTGAAACAACTTCTTTCTCTCCTACCGGAATGTGTCATGTTGAGCAACGCGCCGGTTGCATTCCTCTGAACTCGCATATCTTTGGACTTTGCCAGCCTTGTCAACGGACCCAATGCTCCTGACCTAGCGATTTTGGCCTTGTTGTCTTCATGCGTAGCAAGATTGGTAATGCAGCCGACAGCATTGCATTGAACCTCGACATTGGGAGACATCATCTGTCGAATGAGGGGAGGCAATCCGCCGAGTTGGACAATAGCGACCTTGTTTTCCGCTATGACATGTCAATTACGACTGATCAAAAGGAACTACGGCGGTACGTACGATTCACGGCCAGATTGCCCAAGGCTGCACTGGCAGCTCGTTGTACTTCAATGTCTGGGTTTTGCAGAAGGAATAGGATAGGCTCTAGGGTATCCCGGTCGACTTCTCTCACATCTGCAACCACAGTTAGTTTGGAGTCGAATAGCGTGTCTCTTGTCCACATACCTCGCTCCGTGATCTCGGCAAATGTCAGGCTGGCGCTCCGTTGTAGGTCAACATTATCTGAATAGACGAGAGTGCTCAAAGCCCGCAACGGTTCTCCGGAAAAGAAATCTGTTTCTCCTCGCTGTGGTCTGTCAGGGTTCAACGCTTTACAGTAAAAGGGGACTGTACACGCACATTCTCGAGGTATTGTAGGAGATCTGCAACGGCTTCTCTTTCGCTGTCTGCAAGAGCGGGCTCATAGAGATTATCCTTGTTCCCACCTGTAAAGGTCGAGGGTCAGCAATCAGACATGCTCGAGCAATGTAGCTAAGACAGACCTTGGCAGCTTTTACAGCAGGCCGAGAGTACGTTGCCCATCTCGAGGCGTGGGCCCCGGAGGGGACGCAGTGGTCGAGAGTGGTTCTGTTGGTCAAGGGAACTGCGTTGAGGCTGGAATGTATGCTGATGTCGCAGGTGGTAATGGAGAGGTTGACGGTGAAAGGCTCATCTGATGGTCATGCTGATGCCGATTGTGATGCAATCTTCGAACGATGCTGGCGAGGCTCCCGATACTGTTGTATTGAGATGAGAAAGTATCAGGGCTCGTGTCGGATTCGCTGACTCTGGGAATCCTGCAGCGACAGGCACGGCTGCGTGGCTGCGTACCCTGCGGTTGCAGTTGCAGTGGCAGGGGCAGTTGTAGTTGTAGTTGCAGAGCGGCAGAGAGGACGCGTTCAGGCAAGAACAATGAGATTGCCGGAGAACAGGAAGTGTGTGGCGTGTGACCCGGACTCAAGGAGCGAGCAGTAGGCTTCGCAGGCGGAATGGCAATTGCAGTGGTGTGAAGGTGGTCAACATGGGGTTTTGGCCGAAGTTGCACGAGTTAAAGGAAGCTGCAGAAGCACCGTGCCGATGGTTGACGCAGGCTCGGTGACTTATTAGTGCTGGCGGCTTCCTAGGGTTAGGCGATGCTAGACCAAGTTGGCCATGCTGGTGGGCTAATAGGTCGGCTTTGCAGGCTCCCAGAGGCTACCCAAGCCCAACGACGGATGTTGTTAGGCTGGTGCCGCCCATGTGGATGCTCCCCCAGAACCCAGAACTGGAGGAGAACCAACCGCTTATTACCTATTACCTCGTACAGATCCCTTCGGTCTCGCCCTGCAAATACATTTTCGCGGTAAACTTCAACTTCCCACTTACAGGACTACATTTATTCAACAGCACCTATCGTCGCTAAACCTCATCGATATGACCTGGGCTCCCCATGCTCTGTTACGGCCACCTTCCGCATTTATGGTCCCTCAAGCAAAACACCTAAAGCATTTCCAGATGCCCGTGAATATTGAACATCTCGCCGCCAATAAGCCCTTTCACATGCTTTCGACGTCATCGATCAGACAAAGAGCCAAAAAGATTCTGAAGATTGGAAGGGAACAGAAGACTATCAAATAAGAGAAACAGCATTGGACATTAATTTTGTGTATTCCATGCCGTTCTGTCCGCCGTCCAGGCTATCTCTCCAGCCCAGGTTATGCTATATGCAATGCCATTTTCTTCGCACTTCCTGTTCGCACAGTGCACCGGCAATGTCCATCCAGCTAAAAATGCAATCCCCATAACTCCAATCATGGCTTCAGCAATACCGGCTATTGTAGTCGTAATATTAAGGAGATTCGTCCCTGCTCTGACGTCTATACTTTCGGCATCTCGACTCTGACCTCGGCCTGACTATGTTTGCGACTGAAGAGCGCCCCTTGCTTGATGACGGGGGAGTAGATGCCCGCCGGCGTCAACGTCTCGGTGGTAGGTCGAAGCTGATCAAGGGCGTTTTTGATGGAGGACTTGATCTTCTGCGACGTCTTGGAGGACTCGCTGGAAGTGGATTCTTTGGAGACCCGACGGGATGACACAGCCGAGCTGTTCTTCTCTGCTTGAGTGAGGTTGTAGTACCCTGCGTAGAGCATGTTGATGGATGTATGGAGATGGTTTGGATTGTTTGGCGGTTGGTGTAGGTGGTTCACTTGAAGAATAATGTGGTCTACTTGAAGAATAATGTGGTCTTTGCTCGGTTGTCGAGGAGACGGAAGTGGCAAGGAGGGGAATACTTCTTGTTCTTCGATACTGCTTGATGCAGAACGAATAACTCACACTCGAAGCAGTCGTGACATGGGATTATATAGACCCATCAAGTCCCATGCAACCTCCTGTCAGCAATATAAAATTTCTCATCGGCTCACCTCTTGTCAGTCGGTGATGAGGACGCCCTGTGGGATTTCATCATTTGCCCACCACGGTTCTCGAAAAGGGACCCAACAATTGTCTGAGGAATGAAAACAGTCATAACGCACTCACCAATCATGATGGATGTTGGAATGCGCCCTTGGGAAACATGCTGCCCCAGGGCGTGTGCAATTGTCGTTAGCGAATATCCATGTGTCAAGTACATGAAAGGCGCGTGTGAACCTGCTCTTAGCGGATTTCGGTTTGTCATAACGCCACATGGCTGCCCCAGCCAGTTACAGACCTGAAATTTTCGCTGCTGCTGTCTATAAAAATTGTGCTTAACTAAGAACTTAGAGGTAAAGCGTCTGTGGGCCAGTCGGAGGGCGTGGAGAGGGCGGTTGGCATCGGCGTGTCCAAGTGGTTCGAGGCTGATGTGAGGTGGCATTTGCGTCCTTCGCCCTGTCCCACTCCCTTCCTAAAGAATATACGACCATGGGGCGCCGAGCTTGCGGTATCCTGCCACAGCAATGAACACATGCTTCCAAACCGGTACCTATGTTGACTGACTTCTCAGGGGATCATTCAACTCTTCACCCGGGAAAAGAAGACTTCTGGAATCTGAGGGCTTCTCAGAAATGATCGAAGCTGATGTCAATCAACTTCAATACGCCCCTGCTGCTATGTGTTTCATAAGAACTATGTTACAACATTGTCTCCCTTACCCGACCTGACCACTGCCAGGAGGAATGCTGATGATAAAACAATTTCCAGAAGGAGGACATTCGCCGTCGAAAAGGACACGAACTGCATTAAGCCTCGTTGATCCATCTGGGGTGCCCCAGGTTTCAGATCCAGGATTTCCGGGGCTTGCATAGCATCTCACCACTTAGTTGGCTACGATTCTGGCCAACGGTGACTGGTGGGCTTGCGGAGAACTGACATCTTGAGGGAGTGTCACTTTTGCTTTTCCTCATCTGATCGAGGTCGAATGCGCGAAGCCCCAAGAATAAGTGGCTCCTTACCATGGCCATGCGAATGCGAAACGACAAGCGCTGCCCGAAATTCCACAATTTGTTCAGAGGCGTTGAGCATCAAGATACCCACCCACGACCAGCCATGAGGTGATAAAGAGGTTGCACACAACATAAATCACAGGGCGACGAGGTTCAATACCTTCTGCGTTGTCTGGGATCATCGTACCCGTCATTCTCGTGGTATCGTTTTCTTGAGCCATAGTCGTCTTCACGTCTACTGCTTCCATATCGATCACGGTCTCGGTCTCGATCGCGGTCCCGGTCTCGGTCACGGTCTCGGTTATCGTATCCACGGTCTCGTCCTCCAAGAGGGTCGGTATTGCTGCCAGTCGCGCCGCGTTGGTCTCTTCCTCCGCCATATCCGTTTCGCCGGTCGTCATGACCTCCGCCGTAGCCGCCTCTGCCGCCGGGTCCGCTGGGTGCGTTGGGGGGAGGCGGTCCGTTCTGGTAGCCTTGTCGTCCGCCGAAGCCTCCTCCTCCTTGGTAGCCAATGCCGCCTCGCCCACCGTAGCCTCCTCGGTCGCCGCGAAAACCGCCGCGAAAGCCTCCACGACCACCAAAGCCACCTCTAAATCCACCACCATAGCCACCTGGGGGACCGAATGTAGGCTTTGCAGGAGCTTGTTTGGTATATCCTCGTCCACCAAGGCCTCCGCCAAATCTTCTCGGCCTCCAGCCAGGGACCATGCGGCCACGTTCGACATCGACAATGACTCTTCGGTCCTTTATTCGTAGGCCGTCTGTCTCTTTGTACGCAGCTGTAAAAGAGTAAGGAATTTCGAGGTCAGTTCCTTGAAATCTTACCATTTGATCTTTTGGTATGGAAAGAAGGGTCAAGGGCAAAGGGGTTTGCAAAGAAGAAAGTACCTCTCATATCCTTTTCTCTTTCGTAGACAATGAAGGCATAACCTTTATGTGGCTTTTTGGGTTTTGGGGTTGTCTCATCCTTGACAATCCTGATTCTCTCGATGGGACCAAACCTGCCGAACTCACGCTCCAGATCTCCTTCCTTCGCATCATAACTTAGACGACCCACGAATAGAGTCTTAACGGCATCGCCCTTGATCTTGGGGTCGTCGTTTGGTTTGTAGCCCTGGAAGTCAGGCCGCTCAATCTCTTGCTGGCGCAGTTTCTTTTCGAGTCTTTTCCGATCGCGCTGTTGCAGCCAGGATTCAGTGGGCTCGTACACATCAGTCGCCTTGTACTCCTGAAGCTGCGGAAGAAACGCGGCGATGCCAGACAGCTGTGATTGCTTGAGAGCTCTTTCGTCCGGAGCGGTGTCTTGAGGGGGAATGTAGCGGAGAGGAGGTCGGGGTTGGAATAGAGCAAGGAGATTAGGAGGGAGTTTGTCCGTCATCTTGATGCTACGCCGCAAGAAGCTTGTCGTGAGAGATACGCGATCGTCATCAATGCGCAAAAGGCAGTAAGAGAGAAGAAAGCAAATGCGCGGGATTCAAGTAAAATTACAGGTAGAGTTGAAGGCAGCAATGGAGATGCAGTCAAAAGGGTTGAAGAAAGCTGGATTCACAGCGCGTTGGATGCGGAAATGAAATTGTTGTTCCTGAACTGCCTAGGGGAAGCTGCTAGACCCAAGAACGGTTTAGTGCCATATCGACGATCATACCGCCACGTTGACAGCACTGAGTAGCGTGCTCGCTACTCACCCCACATTATGATAGAGAGTATCTCCCATTAAACGGGATACAGGTGAGGTCTAGGGCCTACTTATTACCCAGAATGTCTTGATATCAATGTAGGACCTTATATGGATGATCTAGTGGTCCAACAACTCCCTGCGATGCCCCAAACCGTGTCTCCTGATATAGACGACACCTTGTCGCCCATCTACCCACCGCCTGCGAGGCTGAAATAGTCATGAGCTAGGTCTAAGACGCACGCAGAGATCTCTGCTATTGATTGACGCATTCGCACCGTTGGTCTATCCGGCAGCAAAGATTTCACGGCTGCGTCGCGGTTTGATATCGACGGCGAGGGGACCAGTGCACCGCCATAGCCAACGCGCATGATTTTTCTTGGTGCGCCACAGACACCAGCCTCCCATCGTGTTCGCTTTTTCTCCAACCAAACCTGAAGCAAACAACGTATTCGTATTTTGGACCTGACCCATCGCGGAACGTCGCTTCTTCTCGTCGATCATCTATAATAAACTCTCCCGCAACAAGAATAAAAACAGCCTTGTGGACTGCCTTGCGGATCTCGGCAGCGATCGCATTGGGACGTTACCTGACCTCGTCCAAGAAATTTCTGCATCAGAGATGAGCCGCTACTATTTCCAACAGAATCTTCCTGATCTAGATTAACTCGACGACTTGACAAAATATCATTGGCCTATATTTCAGTATGTGGATGCTTCTCAGGCAGCTTCTTTACGTGGAGAGGAGGGATAGAACTCGACGGAATTTATATTGAGGTCATGTCCTTGCCCTGGTACCAGGGCAGTATTCATCATCTCGTGTGGTTCCGCACGTCTCAAATATCAAGCAATCTGGCAGGATGATGAGCAAATTATCCTTCACCAGCCTCTGCTACATCCTCTCCCTTGCTCGCGCGACGCTTGCAGCCCCTCAGCAATACTGCAAACCCGTTGTGGGTTCCCCAGGTTGGCCCTCGGTCTCTGACTGGCAAGCTTTGAACAACTCGGTCTCAGGCCGCCTCATCGCACCTGTACCTCCAGGTCTGGTCTGCCAGACCAACAGTTCGGTATACAGCGTGCAAGCCTGTGGCCAGTTAATCACCCAATGGAGCAATTCGTCCTTTCATGCCGAGGACCCTTTCACGACCGACTACAACGATGATTCTTGCCTCCCTGATCCTCGAGCGCCATGCTCTGCGACACTTCTGCCTGCATATGTGGTCAATGCCACCAACGCAACCGAGGTTCAAGCTGCTTGCCGATTCGCGTATAGGACTGGGGTCAGACTAATAGTCAAAGGGACCGGCCATGACTTTTTGGGACGGTATACACTTGACAACGTATCAGTGAAGGCCTCATGACACTGACATAGCGAACAGATCGTCCGGTCGAAGCTCACTCTCCATCTGGACGCATAATATTCGCGGCGTCAACGTCACGATGGGAGATTCTCGAGCGAAGCGGTATGGCGGGATTGCTTCTGTCAAGATTGCAGCCGGTATGCGCTTTGGCGAAATCTACCAAGCAATTGCCTCATACAGCCTTACCATGGTCGGTGGAGCGGATCCTAATGTCGGTATTGGTGGCTGGATTACTGGGGCTGGACACTCTCCGATCAGCAGCGTCTATGGCCTGGGTGCAGATCAAGTCCTCGAAATGGATGTTGTTACTGCCAATGGGACACTGTTGACTATCAACGAGAACTCTTACCCTAGCCTCTTCTGGGCAATGAGAGGTGTAAGTTCTCTCCAGAATATCTCGGATATCTAAATGACAGAACCCCTGATTTCCAATGTTCGTGTCTAGGGCGGCGGTTCCACCTTCGCGGTGCTCATCTCAGTCACAATTCGAGCATATCCAGCCCTACCTATGGCAGTGTATTCATTCAGCTACAACACCACCGCGAACAGCGACACATTCTGGTCTCTAGTAGCCTACTTCCACAATCAGCTGCCTGAGCTCTCCGACGCCGGTGCCATGGGCTACTACTTCATTTTCCCCAACAACAACGCGTCACAGTCTGAAACTGCCCATCTAGGCTCAGTCGCCGGCGTGTGGCTCGTCCCGAACAAGACCGTCGAAGAAGCCCGGCTAATCTTCATGCCCATGGAACAGACTCTGCAGAATAACACATTCAACTGGACCGACACGGTCTTTCTCCAAAATGCATCTGTGCCCACGCTGGACTTCACCAAATTCTGGATGGCAACCGTTCCGGGTGGAACTGTTGGATCAGAGGTCCGACTGGGGTCTCGCCTCCTCGACCGGGCCGCTCTCAAGAGTGATCCGGGAAAGTTGAAAAGGCTCTTCAAGCAGACCACGCCTATCCCGCAGTATCCGATCTTGGGCCACGTCGTGGCGGGCAAGGGTGTCAGGACGGTCAAGAACGGGATCCCGGGAGGAAGTAACTCTGTCTTGCCCGCATGGCGCGAAGCATATACGCACATCGTGCTCCCTCGATCATGGCCATTTCTGAACGATACGGCGAAGCTAGCGACGACAACACACCTCCGTGATGTCGAGACAGCAGCCCTCCGCCAAATCGCGCCAGACATGGGAGCGTACGTCAACGAAGCAGACCCGACAGAGCCCAACTGGCAAGAGACGTTCTGGGGGTCGAATTACCCCAGGTTGCTGCAGTTGAAGAGGCACTGGGACCCCAAGAGCGTGTTTTGGTGCGTCCCCTGCGTGGGCCACACGGATGGCTGGGAGGTCGTTAGTGACTCTGGTGTTGAGGGCGCAGTGGGGGAGAGTCCAGGGAAGATCTGCCGGACAATATAAGTAGTCGGAGCTCTTGTTGGTGGAGAGCTCCGAGGTAAGCCTGAGAGATGGGCTCTGAGAAGGAATGGAGACGACGATCTGTGCGATGATATTCAGTATCATAATGAGGGTGCGAGCAGGCTGTGGAACGTGCTTGTACCGAGTACACATAGTTTGATGCTTCGCAGTGTCCTTTCATAATGCTCTCATAATCCGATTCCTTGAAAGTAATCTCCGCACCTGTATTATCGCATAAATCTGACTGTTCACTTCACAACTGCAAACTCGCCTCTCCTCTTTCGAAGCTTTTGCACCCCTTGCGCCTGCTGGTCCATTCATTCGCTAGTTCGTGTGATGGAGCGACGAGGCTGTATCACTCCAGATCCGGCTAGCGTCGAAGCCTTGTCCTCTCATATTCCGTAGATACTCCGAACCTGCGCTTTTCAATTGCGCAGCAGCGAAAAAGCTCCTACTTCCAATTGGAAACTCTAACGCTACGTATTATTCTGAACATTCGATTCTAGCCACGACCTCGCTTTGCGCGCGTGTGCCATCCTACGTCTCCTCCTCATACCTTCGGCCATGGGCGTGCAAGGACTCAAGACCGTGTCGACGGCACGGGTAAGCTTCTCACGCAGTTTCTTTTCTCTTCTCACGACCCTGTCCGTCTCGCCATCTATCCAACCGCCCCCAAAGCACCTGCCCTGACCGCTTGCTCCTGCACTTGCATTTTGCATTCCCCCCTTTAAAAAAAAATACGAAAAACCTAATACTTTCACAGAACGGCCTAGGCGCCTACATCCTGCAATGCACGCGCCTACACCTGACGTACTCGGACCACTGGGCGTCGTCCTCGGGTTTAAAATCACTTCTCAGTTCACCGGCGTTCTCGTCACTAACACATCGTTACCCGAGCGTCGAGTTCCGGATCTCGCCGCGCCCGAACCGCCACCCCGTCGTCAAGGCAGTGTACTGCAACGGGCGGTCTAAGGCCGTCTGCGTCAAGAACCTGGCCCGCGAGCAGGTGCTTGAGAAGGTCGAGTTTCTGATCGGGAATTCTGGCGAGAGGAATACCCTCGTAAAGGGCAAGAAGGTCATCAGTCAGAATGAGAGTGTCAGGGGCGTGTGGAGTCCTATGCATGGCGGGATTAAGAAGATCTGAGTGAGGCTCTGTGCTCGGGCGCTGAGCATCAAATATTGATCATTGAGACCTGCGCTGGGCCGTGGCGGGGCGGACTGACGAGGAATGCGACTGATTCCCCTGATTCGCTCTCGTAGAATGAGAGGCAAGGGTGCTGCAAGGAGAACCCGGGGAATGTTCAAGAGATTGAAGGAACAAGACGCAGAGCACATCCGGATACAGAATGATGCGCACGAGGAACGTCTGGGGTTGAGGAGGAGGCCGACGAGAGCCATATATTGACAGAGCGGTTGGACAGGCTCTTACTCTACACCTGCTCGAAGAGCGAGGAGATAAGTGTCGGACAGCTACGCAAGCTCGTGTTTGGGAAAAGCTACCAGATTCTTCTGGGTCTGTGACACTAGGACAGATGACGAGCCAAAATCCCAAACAAACACCAAGCGATCGGAAGACCTTGAGATCTACCTCAAGGATGAGCTCGATGAAGTCACACATCCAAAATCGCTGATATTCGGCTGACGGCTCCAAACACCCTCCTCAGAAGCTTCGAACAACAGAAACAATTCATGATTTCAATAAAGCTGGTTTCAAGTTAAGTTCGGCAATGATTTGCAATTGAAGGACCCGCGGCAAATCATGGGACGCAGCTCATTGCTATAACCTTGCGTTGCAACATATGTACAATAGTTACAAAAGGATTTAAAACATGATCTGAAGCGTGCTCTGGCCCACTCAACTCGATGTCCGCGCATCAACCTCCATCGTGACCGTTGAATTGTCCGTGGAAAGATAAACTCCTTGAGCCCTTCATTAAAATTTTCATCTCATTGTCAGCGTGGGCCGATGCCTGTGTGTACTCACGACCAAGTCGCTGGATCAATCCAATTCTTGATGTCCGATCATAGGTAGATGGGGAACATGGCAGTCTTGCTGACGACTTTGGTGTTACAGCCATCGACGTTGCATATCGTAAACGGAACCGATCTGGGCGATTCCAGCTTCTTTTCAGGTTCTTGCTCTTTGGCTTTGCCTTTGCCTTTCCTTGTGGCTCTTGTTTTGGAACGGTTTACCGCACATTCGCCGCAATAGACCTGAAAACGTCGTTAGGACAAGGTTAACGCCTGGATTGAATCCAATTCACTCACGTGTCCGCAGGCTTTCACTACCCAGACCTGCTTCTTGACATCTCCCTTCCCAACTGCCAATTCATCGCCGCACATCGGACAGAGTATAACATCTTCTTCTCCAAAAGTCCTGATGAACCCCTCATGGGCGGCTGGGGGCGCTTTGTAAGGTTCAGGCACCACTTGGGGTGTTTCAGAGCTGCGATCAAAGACATCAAAACGACCGAGAGCAAACGCAGGTTGTCTGTAGTCCATGTTGACGATGAAAGCACCTTCAACATCATTCCCTTGCCGTGCGTCCTGGCCACGGGGCGGAACTCCGTCTAAGCGATCCAGGAAGCCTTCATTGTAGCCTGGAGCGGCGATATTCTGCATATTCCCGAACATAAATTGTGTCCCCCTCCTCAATATCTCTGGGAAATATCCGAAGGTACCTCTATCCATGCGAGGAGCGTTGGCACCGACATTTGCCTGGACTGCTGCCTCCTGACGTTGGGGCTGTGGAACAGTTCTCTCCGACACGAATTCGACTTCAGAACTTGCCGGAGGTGAGCCGACGGATTCGGACTCAAGGGTTTCGGTGTCGACAGACATTTCAAACTCATCCATCTCGAAATCCGAATCATCTGTGTCTGAGAGATCAATTATCTCAGGTAGTTCATCCTGCGGTCTTCCACCAAAGGGCGGGGCACGGACATGACGTGCTTCTTCTTGTTGTCTCTGAACAGCTTCTAGTTGCCTCCGAGCAGCTTCCCGTCGCTGAGCGGCTGCAATCCAGGTCCTGATAAGGTGGTGTCGTGAGACTCGTGCAGGGGGCTGGCTAGACACCTGCCCTGAGGGCTGTGTAGACGTCTGCCGTGAGGGCTGTATAGACGCATGCCTCGAGGGCTGTGGTAGAAGAGAGGATTCTGAGGCAATGGAAGTGTCATCGCTGTCAGTGTCTGCCGTGAGATCGATCGTGACATCTTGCGGGGTAGGGGTTGCAGTTGCTCGAGAAACCCGTGCAGACATAGCCGGCCTTCGGTAGTCGAAGCCGTCGCCCTGGAACCGTACTCTCGATTCTGGGTACTGCGGCGTCGAGTCTCGAGAAGACTCGGGTGTTGGATGATGGGTGATACGGCGGCGCTTGGACGGTACTTGATCGGGGGTAATACTTCGACTTAACGATCGGGTTATTTCTGCATGAGATCTCTGTAGCTGGAGTCAGAATATTATTTTCAGATATAATTCACATGATGCTGGGTAATGTGAAGGGCGAGGGCTCAGCTGAGAGGGAGCCGAGGGCGTACCTTTCGACTGGATGGACCCGACGCCGAATTCAGGAAGGTGCTCAAGGCAAGAGTGCCTGCAGAAGGCATGATAAAGGGCGCCTGCAAGGGCAGATTATGACTCTCGAGTCGAATATTTCATGGGTGCAGGAGATGATACGAAGGCTTCGCCAAGGGAGGTGGGAGTTGTCGTTCGGAAAGCGACTGAGGTCGAGGGTCAGGTACAAGTTGGATGTCGTCCGGGCACAAAGCCAAAGCCAAGCAGCCAGAAGTGGGAACAACGAACCGAACAAAGATGAAAGCCGGATGGGAGGCGGTGTCACAAGCGAGGGCGACCAAATAGGAAGGGAGAGAAGATCGTAGAAAAGGGCGAATGCCAACTTGAAATGGCCACCTGCGGACGGGAAGATGGCAGTTGGCAACGACGAGCACGAGTAGTGGTCGCAGTGGTTGCAGTGGTGGAGGCCAGGCAAAATGAGGGATGATGTTTTGGCGGCGGTAATACTCGGTACTGTGGTGCGTGGTGCGAGGTGCGAGATGGAGGCGAGGGGGCCTTTTTCTCTGTCATTTGCCACCTCTACCTCGTATTCATCATGGATTTTCACTCAATAACTATTGACAGACTCTCCAGCCCGCTGATAAATCTAACTGAGCCAATAACAACATCATCAACAACAGGATCTGCTTCATTTTATTGTGGTTGTACATACCATCCCAGGGGACAAAAACACCATCCGTCGACGGAAACCCCATTCCCTTTGACATAGCCCTTCCCCTACTTTTCTTTTCTCAACAATCGCCCAATATCCAGAAGAAATTAAAAAAAAAAAAAAAATATAAAAAAAACCCCTCTCAATCTCGTATCAATGGGTATCAATACTACCTTCCCTGCCTACCTGTTTGTATACAAGTGATTTTGAACCACTAAGGCACTTATCCATCCGTTGCCACCGCCGCCAGGGTCGTGATAACCCCATCCTCATCGACAGCGACCAAACTCTGAGCCCGCTTGCCCCATGCAACTCGTGTCGCCGGTGTCCCTCGCTTAAGAATCTCGGACCATTCCTTTGACGCCTTGGAATAATGTTCGACCGTAACTCCATCTTGTCCTGCGACAGCCAAGAATTGTCCAGTGTAGTCCCAGCTGATGGAATCGATCTGGCCGGCAGTCTTGAGAGTAGTAATTTCCGTCGCTTTTCTCAAATCCCAGATCGAGATTGTCGACGACTTCTCTGTCACGCCTGCCAACCATGTGCCGTTTTCCGAGAAGAAGATACATTGCACAGGGCCACCAAGGTCAAACGTGGCGGCTTCCGCGCCAGACTTGACGTCGAATATCTTGATTTGACCATCAGCCCCGCCGGCCGCCAGTAAGTGACCGTCAGGGTGGAATTGAGCACAACGGAGACCTGACTAGGATAAGCGCACAGGCCGGGTAGGGGGACGCAGGAAGACATACTTGAGTTACTTAGGACCTGAGTCAGGACACGGTTGGATTCAAGGTCATAGACAATGTATGTCTTGTCTTCCCCGACCGAAGCCAGAATAGTGCCGCTAGGGTGGAGAGCGACCGCATTGACCCGTCCAGCGTGGACCGAGAACGACGAGAGCTCTTGATCCTTTTCAAATACTTTGACCGCACCTGCTGAGGTTGCAACAACTGCCCTGTCATGAGCCCAGAGACCGTTTGTGACTGTTCCTTCGCCAACGTCGAGAGTATATGATAACGTGTGCTCTGATAGCGAGTACACACCCGCTTTGTTGCCTGCAACAAGGACCATATCTCCTGCCTCGTGTACAGCAAGCACAGTTCCACCGGGGAACAATGGTTTCGAGGTTGATGCCGATGTGTATGCTGATATTGAGTCTGGGATGGCCCAGTCTTCTGGGACTGGTCGTTTCCGCCGGGTCTTGGACAAACTGGATTCACCCATCAGTGTCAGGACGACTTGTATAGAGGGCGGTCATACCTTTGTTGTACGCTTTCTATCTTCTCCACGATCGCCTGTGGTAACGGGCCGGTGTCCACTTGCATAGCATCACCATTCGTACTGGCAGTAGCTGGTCCACCGACATTTATCTGTGCCAACGTCGCTCGCGCCTCATCTCTCTCTTTTGTAAGCTGCGCAATGACCCGAACCGCCGCATCATTTTCGTACAGCGCAGTACTGAGCTCTTGCCGAGCCTGGTGAAGATTCTGTTGCAGTGTGTATGTCTGAAGCGCCAAAGCATCCCACTCATTCTGAAAGAAAGATAACATGGCTGGTATCGAAGTCATCTGCGGAGGTCGGGGATAGACGACATTGGGGTTCTTGAGGTCGATAAGGTCTTCCACCGAGAGGCTCTCTCCGGTCGTGGGTTCTGTGCCATTCTCGCTGATGTATGCTTCGATCAGGCGCTTTTCGTAGACATTCCCTGCGGATATTAGACCAGCGAAGCCTAGCATACGCACATATTGTACCCACCACTCTTGCGTGAAGCCACTGGAACCTGCGGCGCCTCCCCCGAGACTGTCATACTATTAGTCGGATCCAATTTGCGCAAGAGGCAGAGAACTTACTTGCACACAGCATTGTCACAAAGGCTGCTCCGGCACAGGGCGTAGGGCTTTTCGGGCAGGTAGGACACAGATCTCCCCAGAGAATTGCTTCCAAAAGCACTCACAATCCGCGACAAATGACTTGTAACAAATTTACTAGGTCGTACTTTCTTCTTGGGAATTTGCAACCTCGAACCGCAGCCAAATTGTTGCGCTCGGCAAATCTTCCGCTTTAGGTCGCAGCCTCGCCAGGTTTTTGTCCCGCAAGCCTGACAGCGAGTGCAAGAGTCCTTGAGGTAACATCGCGGATTAGTTCGACATTGACAAAAGCGCAAGATCAAAAGCTCAGCTCTGGAGTTCTGTGTTCTAAGTGGCATGGAGTATCGTCTCGATCTCTTCATCATTTCGCTTCTATCCGCCCATCATGGCGGACGCCGCCCTCCCATATCATGAACCCGGGATCATCACAATCCTGATTCAATCATCCTTCCTTCTGATTTTGAACATTCTAGGCTTTGCCCTGGACCACATTTCTTATTGCGGCCTTGTAGGCCAAGTCCTCATTGGAATGGCGTATGGAACGCCTGGCTTGAAACTGTTGCCCCATGCATTTGAGGAGGTGGCAACTCAGCTTGGATACCTGGGCTTGATTGCTATTGTCTTCGAGGGCGGATTGGCGACTTCAGCTAAATCACTTGGGAACTCCCTTATACTGTCTATATGTGTGGCTCTCACTGGAATATGTCTCCCAATGGCCCTATCTTTCGCTCTCATGGGAATTTCGAATGCAACAAGGTTGCAAGCCTTCGCAGCCGGAGCTGCGCTATGTTCAACGAGCCTAGGCACCACCTTCAGCCTCCTAAAGACGACAAGTCTAACGATGAGTCGCTTAGGAACGGTCTTGAGCAGCGCCGCGATGCTGGATGATGTTGTTGGGCTGATCATGGTTCAAGTCATAACCAATCTGGGATCCGGCCAGACGTCTATTTCAGCTGCTACGGTGATACGCCCTATTTTCGTATCTCTTGGTTTCGCAATCGTTCTACCGGTCGTCTGCCAATTCTTGGTGAAGCCAATGCTACCTTACTGCTCGGTCGCTTCGGGTAAATTGAAAGGGAAATACCCTGCGAAGACGCTGGGCTTAGAGGTGAAGGTTCCCTTCCTTTTCCGGACGGCGTTTTTGGTGGCCTTGATTACTGCGGCGAGCTATGCAGGCACATCAAACCTATTTGCTGCCTATCTTGCAGGAGCTGCTATCTCCTGGCTAGACGAAATTAGTCGACGGCGAATAGATACCGGATTCCAGAGAGCGTCTCAAGAGACGCCAAAAGATCAGATGGATCCGGCAAAAGCGACCCCTGGCACTTCGTCTGTAAATTTCGCCGCCGCTCGGAATGCCAGCGAAATTCCTGGTTCATCGGTGGAGAAACTACAAAGCAACAAGCCACAGGCATCGAAACCGTCCTTGGAACTCACTCCGCCTCCAGAGGATTCAAAAGTGACAAGCGCTGTCGAACGAAATGCAGGATCGGCCGATATCCCCGACCCACTGAAGGTGGAGAGCCGCAGCCTGCAGATGTACAATCATTACTATGCACCCGCTGTAGAGCGCATTTTGAAACCATTTTTCTTCGTAAGTTACTTACTCCCTCGCCAGAAATGTTTTTTTTTCAAGTGGCTAACAACCTGACCGCCAGGCTTCCATCGGCTTTTCCATTCCGATCACCAAGATGTTCCGGGGCCCTGTCATCTGGCGCGGTCTTGTTTACGCAACGTTTATGGCTGTCGGCAAGCTCTTCTGCGGCATGTGGCTCATCCGCTTCTTCAACCCCTCGTCCACAACATCGCTATCTCCTCGTCCACGGCCTGCTACGGAATCCGACAAACAGGACAAGAACACGAAGCAGGCTAAGAGCAAGACAGCCTTGCGTGAAAGGTTCCTCCCTCGTCCGAAATCTCTGTACCCGGCGTCTATTTTAGGCTGCGCAATGGTCGCGCGAGGCGAGATTGGATTCCTCATCTCGGCCCTAGCGGCGACAAACGGTATCTTCGCTAGTAAAAGCGAGGCCGGGAACGCAGCAGCAGCCGCCGGGGATGCTGCCGGTCTCGTGTCAGATCTATACTTGATTGTCACATGGGCGATTCTCCTCTGCACCATCGTCGGACCGCTGGCTCTGGGGTTTCTGGCGAAGCGCGTCAAGAGGCTTCAGGATGAGAGGGCTCGAGATGGAGGTCATGGGACAAAGGAGGATCCGCTAGGCATCTGGGGAGTGAATTAATCGGTCCTTGACAGTTTTGGAGCTGGGGGGGAGAAGAACTCTGAAAGAGATCTGGTGGTGCTCGAGTTTGGCAAGATAGAGGCATAAGCACGTTTGGAGGATTCAACACGCTCCATATTCTCTCATTTCTTATAAACAAGCTCACAGAAAAAAAATCTCGAACGAAACGCCCGCCTAATGCAATCCACAACCGCTGGTTGATCGAAGATTAAATCACCGCCCTTGCGACCCATCAGAGACCGGTTCCTTCCTTCGCACTGTCCTGGGCCCTTTGCTTGCATGTGCAAACTTGCCGGTTTTGATTTCGTTCATGGCATGCGCCTCAAAGTCATCTGGAGAGGAATTTACCAACAAGATCCTTCCCCTTGCCATCCTTTATGTTCATGGCCTGCTGAGCCAGTGTATTGAACAGCCCCGTACCCGCGGCATTCCCGCCTCTGCTCGGTGCGTCGGAGTGTGAGTTGGACACCTCGTCTGGCTCCACGAAGCCCTGTTGGCGCTGTTGGCGCCAGTTCTGGTAGTCTGACGGCTGTGCGCTCCCAGCGTACATGCTCGCAGGGGCCGGTGCAGCTCGTCGGTCCAACTCGTAATTGTATTGACCCTGGTTGTTATACCCCGAGGGTAAGGGAGCGTGAGCGTTGTTATCGGTCACCAGTACCTGTCGTTGGCTCTGTTGCTGCTGGTGTGAGCCTCGCCGCTCGGTGAATTCCATTGGCAAGACCTTTTCTTGCGGCTGATAGTGTTGTTGCTGTTTTGCTTGTCCTTGCTGGTACGGATCTGGATAGTAACACGGAGGTGCGTCGAGGTATTGTTGGCGCGTGTTGTCGTCCTGTGCGGCAACTGGCGCGGGATTTGTGCGACGGTTTTCAGCAGTTTTAGTGATCTTGTTCACGGCGTAGATGCTGACACCGGCAATCATTGCGGTCTTGATTATACCCATTGTTGGATGGTATGAATATCGGGCCTCAAGATGGGGTGTATATGACGTTGAGAAGTTCAAGTTTTGATGTGCAGCCTAGTACCAAGCGGTCTCCCCTCTTCGTTTCTGCTGTCTATATAATCTGAAAGTCGGCCTTTGACTCCGATCGTGAGATACTTTCCCAATAACAGGATATCGGGCATTTTTATAGATTGCACATCCATGTTGACAGGCAGGATGCCAGAAGACTACGATCTGCAGGTTATTGAGCCACGCAGGCAAGCATATCGCAAAGAGCGACCCTATATCGTTAGCGCAAAGCAGCGCGACGGCATACACGCACAGGAAGAGCATAAAGCCGAACTCGGGGGACTCTAGAAAGCGTATGCCGTTCATTCAAGGGGCCGGTGAGGCTGTGTGAAAAGGGCTTGGGCCTTGGGATCGACGCGGTCTTGGGGCAGAATTGCAACAGGCAGCTGCAAAAGAAACGACGCAGCTCGGTCCGGCTGTAACACTGAGCGCGAATTCGGGCGTGCGAAGAGTTCCTCTTGCAGAGGCAAAGGCACCCATTTCTTCTGCAGGTATTCGGCTCGTCGTGTTGCCTCGAAGACTGAGGCTGAGACGCGAGTGCGTTACACTGAATGGAGTTTGTTCAAGTTTGCTTGGGGCTTTGCATTCACAAAATAAGTGGCCAAGTCTGACAAGAGTACAAGGTGCCGAGTAGAGGGCTTTCACTGCCAGATCGAAGGTGGCCTTCATTCACAATAAGTATGTTGTTTACCTTTTGGGAATAGTGACACTCTGTAGTTCATCATATACTCTCAACTATATTCGATATAGCGGCCTCTTTGACGTTACTGGGCACTCTTAAGGTACTTTGTACATATTCGGTGACAGACTACGCCACTTGGGTTTTGAATCCGGCTTGTCGGGTTAAATTGACACCGGTATAAGATTTTCCATCTCCGATCACAAATAGGCGCTAATCTCATTCTGGACACCGCGTCGGAGCACCCAAAGACACCTGAACCTCTCGACACCCAACTGTGCTGTTCATCGACAAGTTCCAAATGTTGTCATTCGAAGACAAGATGACTGAATGTCATGTCATTTCCCCAAAGATATCTGCAGACCCCACAGGCGCCATTTCAGCCAATTCGGTCATTGTGGAAGTCCTGTCTAAAGCATGGCTGGAGCGAACATCGACATGGCTGATACGAGGTACGAATCCAGAGAGTCAACTCCTGAGACACCAACGAGAAGGTGACGGGATACATATGATTGCCTCCTAACAATGCCGAAATCAGGCGGTATCTTTCTTCCATCAAAATTAAGCATTGATCAAGCTGGTCTAAGCTCAAGACGGCATTCTCGAGCGTCGCCAACTGTTCGGCCTTGATCCGGGGCCACCGCAATATTCTGCGTGTGCTGTACTTCTCAGTTTCCATATAAAAGATCCAACTATTCTCCTTGCCGCAACAGCTTGGAGGAAACGCTTGCACAGCTTCCGCATCTCATCCACTAGCATCAACGATCTTAAAGTACTTGACGCAGAGGATCCCTTTGGATGACAATGGTACAAATCACCTACGCCGACAGTGGCGCCATCTACAAGCTAATATACTTCTCACCAGCCCTCCTTATCTCCATCTTCATGTCCAACAAACACGGTTTCCAGAGAGGCTCGGGTTGGTTTTTTTTTTTTTTTTAAACAACCTTCTGTGCGATCAGAGTCATTGGAGCTGCAGCGCAATTGGCTACCGTCGATAATTCTCATCCTCGCACCGCCGAGACTATTGCATTGGTGACGGTTGTCTTGGGTCTTTCGCCTCTGCTGCTAACCACACTGGGTGTACTTGCACGAGTGTAAGTTTCTCCCTGCCGTTTCCACTGAGTGCCGCTGACGTCCGAGTTACTGTACAGGTACCACTCCATCCTTAAGCAACCGTGGGGTACCGTATTTTCCCTCGTCCTTCTCAAGATGATTCGAACACCCGCGCCATCGCTTTGATCCTCTGCATCGTGGGGGCAACAAACGCCAATGATCCCACAGAGATCGACTCAGAATCCACGGTTTACGTTGGCATCATCCTCTATACTATAGTCTTTGCAGCACTTGTTGCTCTCACCGGTGGGGCTATATCTGGGAGACTAGTTACTGGACAATACGAGGTATCGCTGCTCTTGGCCGTGTCCCAAGCGCTACCTTTCCTGGCTATTCGAATTCTCTACGCTCTCTTTGCCGCTTTTTCTAACGACAAACGATTCGACCCGGCCACAGGTTCAATTACGATTGCATTGTACATGGACACCCCGCAAGAAATCGTCGTGGTCCTGATATATCTGGTGGCGGCGATCGATACCTCAGCTATCCCTCGGTCAACGAAGGGAGAGAAGCGCTCAACAGGCCCGACTTTGATGTCCCGAGCAGGGAGAGGTGATTTCAGTTTTGGTAAGCTGATGCTGTGTCTTTGGCCGGCGCTGTAGGTCAAGCTTTTAGCGGCAACCAGGACGATCATCACAGCACTGCGCAGAGCGGGTATCGAAGCCAACAATGTCAACAGCACAGCGGATGTCCTCAGTCCAGGCCCGTAGGGCTAGAGGTATCGCATGTCTAGGACCCAAAACCGAAGAAAACCGTACCGGGGAGGTCACAGTTCGTGTACTATATGGTTGGGCTCTCATTCGTTTTGATATCGGAGGTCATTACGTGCTTTCCTTGCCTGTGAGGTATCACTTCGAGAACGGCGTTCAGCTCAAGCGTTGTTGGAATTGGGTTGTGTCTCATACTCGCTGTTGACAAGCTGGATGCGAATAGTGGGACATCAGCTTGGCTGACCTTCAGCAACAGAGTTTGTGTGCGTATGTTGACTCAACGCTACCTTACGTTGGAGCCTGCTGCAGGACAGCCAGGAACACAGCCTGGCGGACGTTTAGTGCCACTCTGCCATGACCAACCAATAACAGTCTCTGGCGAGCGTTGCCAGGCAGAAATAAATTCAATATTCTTCGACGCCAGCCTCACGCCTTGTGTTGATCGTCACACAGCAGAACCTCCCGGAAGTGCGAATATCTCTTAGGGCAATGCCCGATTCAATCACAAACCATACGCTGTCGTCAAAGGGTGGCCTAACGGAGCCTCGCTTGTACGGTATTTCGTGTCTCCACTCCACGAGCAGCATACTGGATTCGGCCTAGTCGAGGATGCCTCATCTGCAGATTATTCAGAGCTGACTCCCGCAACGAGCTTGATCCATACCAGATCTTCGAGAATTCGGCTGTGCCTGCCAATTGCCCGCGACGATCGTCTCCTCAGTAGAACGGGACTGTAGTATCCGCAGATGGAAGCCGCTACGGCTGTTGCAACAGAGCCATTCACCGGCCAAAGTTCACTGCACAGACAAGCGAGGCTGAGCTGTGACTTCTGGACTTCGTCCTTTTAATTGCGCACTTCCCGAACCGACAGTGGATCAGGTGTCCTGGAGCCCCGTTTCATGGCGATTTCCTACTCTGACAGCAGGATGCTGAAAGGGACGCTGGGGCTTGAAAACTGGTTCTAGAAAAGCAGTGAGATATCTCGCTTCTTCCCGTCGGCCAAGAGTGCCAAATACCAGGTGCATACTCATTTTTTGCTCTGGTTCCGGGTACAAGAATAATGGTGTATTGCGGGAAGCCGTCCAAAGGCTGCGACTATTGTCGTAAAAAGCGACTGAAGGTGATGTCCTCCGTGGTGTCCTGCCTGCAGATCCAAGGCACTAGTCGTTGAGCGGGTTGTGCTAATAAGGAAAGCAGTGCGATCAAAAGCGGCCGGGATGTGGACAGTGTCGAAATGCTTCTCGAGCCTGCCCTGGCTACCGCAACCAACTAGATCTCATGTTCCGTGATGAGAGCGATCGAGTGCAACAGAAATATCGAGTCAATTCGGTACAGGATGCGGATGCAGATGCAGATGCAGCCGCTGGTGCGGAAAGGGCCAGCGAGTCCAGCAGAAACGATGCCATCGCAACTAGACCGTCCCTGGATCTACAAGCTACTGAGAGAGACCGGTCGCCAATTGTGGCTGATGACAAGTGCAGCCAGATCTTGAAGCTTGGAAAACAGACCTCGCCGGGCTGCCCTTACCGAGCCCTCAGCCAGGCTCTTCCCGAGATCGCCACAGCCTTCTTCCTGACGCAATATATCCCTGGGAGCCATTTCGATTATCTCCCTCTTCTGTGCAGCACTACAACTCCCACCTCCCTTCTGACAAATGTTGTTGCGGCCGTTTCCATCGCAAGTCTTAGCCATGAGACCCGGAAACCCGCGTTGATGGCTCTAGCCCGACAAAGATATTTGCGGAGTCTTGTTGAAACAAACAAGGCACTGCAGGATCCGCATGCCTGCCGCGAGGATGGGACGCTAGCGTCGATACTGCTCCTTGCCCACTTCGAAACCCTTGCGAGCGAGGACTCGATTAAGGCCGAAGATGTTGCATTAGCACACGCTGATACAAGATGCTCCCCATCGGCGAGCTGGGACCGACATATCCAGGGCGCGGTATCACTCGTTGCCCTTCGCCCCAAACCTGATCTCGACCACCCTCTGAGTGTCCGACTCCACCAACATGTCAATGCAACAGCCCGGTACAGCAGCATCCAACGACGCACACGGTTGCCCGCCGAGATTTCGTCCTGGGGCTTTTCAATGGGCTTGCGTAGAGACCGAGAAGACCCGAATCGACAGTTTATGGTGGTCGTTGACGATTTCACGGAACTTCGTGCAAGCATCCGGGAAGGTTCTTTGACTGATCCCTTTGAAATCATCGCGAATGCGAAGTCCATCGACGCGCACACCGCATTGGTCGCCAGAGGGTTCCCTTGGACTTGGACGTACGATGTGGTGGTCCCTAGTCGCCAGATGGACGGAGTTTACAAGAACAAATATCATCTCTATCCAAGTCATTACTCCGCGCAGCTGTGGAACGAGGTTCGGATGACCAGGTTAGCCCTCAATGAGATCATGTTAGGCTATGCCAAGAAAGC